ACTTTTTCCTGCTACAAAGGATAAGCCTGTCCCAGCAAGATGCCTGGCACCTAATTTTGTAGCAGGAGGGTGCCCGCAGCTGGGTGCGCTTGCTGGGAAGTCGGCAGCGTCCACGGAGGAGCAATGAAACCCCGTGGGGCTGGCGGGGGCCGCCTTATCTTTTCCCAGGCTCCTGCCGAACTGCCGCACACTTCTTGCCACAGATCAGCGTGGGTTGACTTGTGGCACGTAAGCCAGATGCAATCTGCAGATGGCTCCTGGCCCACCACCTCTTCTGCAGAGGAGACCGGGGCAGCTGTTCAGTTGGAAAACTGTATGTCGTCGTCTCCTGGCATATTATGGTAGAAATTTATATCATTTTGGAGGTATTCCCGGCTGTTTTTACTATCCAAGCTAACATAAAATGCTGGGAGGTTTGACGGTCATGACTCTGGAGTCTTTATTTACCAGTGATGCGCTTAATTACTTACGTAAAATATACTTGGTGTTTTTCCTGGTTAACAGAGGAGGTAGGAGATTTGCTTGGCTGCAGAATATTCAGTGATTTGGAAGGAAAAGTGACATGGAGTAGTAAAAAAAATTGTTATTTATTGCTTAGCCGTGAGGAACTCAGAAGTTGTTAAAAAGCAGCGAAATTTTAAGTGTAGTTACTGAGATACAGAAAGTTGTGCTTCTCTTAGTCTCTCATATAAATATTTTTGCAGCGCTCTCTTATTCCTGAAAAAGAAAAAAACCTAGTAAGACCTAATTCATGGCCGGGGGGAGTTTGTGTTTCTTGGATGTTTGTTTTGCAGCTCTTTTTTGTAGCCCAGGCTCAGGAGGGAAATGGGAGGAGGGGTGGGAAAGCACGTGGAGAGAAAACCAAGACGGTTGCAGGACATGGATGTCCATTCCCACACCTTTCTGAGAGCATCGAGCTTGGCTTTCCAACGTGAAGGTGGGGATGCGCGTGCCATTTCCACTGCACACAGACATGCTCTAATGACCCCACTCGTTGTGCATACATGTGCCTTTTTCCAAAGACTGTCCATTTCTGTGAAGGGCTCAGCTGAAGTCCAAATTTCGGTCTGGTAGGCAAGTGTGCCACGCTTCAGGGCTTCGAGGCACCACTACTCATGCTTCAAGTATGAAACATTCACCACAGCAGGTCCCCGTCCAGTGAAGGGGCTCATGGTGCCGTCATTGTGTGTTTGGTGGCTTCGGATAAGTGAGTGTTCGGTAGCCTGTTGATGTTCTTGTTTGTTAGCTTCTGGGTTTATTTTTAATGAACGACTCATTCATTTTGGGTTTGCGTAACTACAAGAGATCCAAGTGGGCTGAAAATTTCTGTAACAATAGGAAGTATCAAAAGTGATGCCTTGTTTCTTGCTGAGAAGGAGCAGAGGCACCAAATTTGTCCTGCTTCTGGAGGACACCTTAGGGAAGCGATGGGAAGTTTTAATTTCACAGCTCCATCTTCTTTTTTCTTCCTTTTTTCTCCTTCTTTGGAACTTTGTGGATGATATAAACTAACGAAGCATTAAATAAAAGTAAAGCCCAATTCACATTTTAGGTTGGTCCACATGAGAGTGTGATAACTATTTAGATACCGTCCAATCCACATAGGAGAGTTTTAGCTGCTTTATAGGTAAAAGTATGCTCTATGAGTACACTTATACTTGTATAAAGCGGCATGCAGAGTCTTAGTGTAATCCAAGAGTGTCCTTTTGCTCAATTTACATTCCTTTTAACTGACAAAACCTGAAGAGGAAAAAAAAAAAGCCTCCTTGTACCTTAGGCTCTTGCAAAAACATCTCCACTAGAGCTGGGACCTTGGGTCTTCTCCTGTCTGCTCATACTTACCGTGTGATTAAGCTGTAAAATCAGCGTATGCAGATCTTCAGGGCTTCATGGGCAGACCCTGGCCTGGGGAAGTCTGTTGATGGGCTCATGTGACTTGAGGTGTGCAGTTGTGGCTGGAAAGCCACAGAAGTCAACAGCAGTTTGGCCTTGGAGTTCGTCCTGTCAAGGACTGTGACCCAGGGCTGCGTAGCGTGGTGCCACCAGTCATTCCCTAAAAGGTCAAGATACAGATCAGCCCGTGGCCGTGGCACACATGTTGAGGAAAGAGAGGTCAGGTTACGGAGAGAAGAGCTGTTTTCAGATGCCGTCTGTGCAACAAGACTTACAATGTGTTACAGATATTGGGATTTTTTTAGGTTGGTGAGAAAAGCTTCTGCTTCTGCAGTGAAAGTGAGCTCAAAACTTTTTTCTGGTCAGGTCTGGGAAAACAAGGATGCTAAAACTGGGGGGATTGAGCTGGGGGAGCTGAAGAGGCATTGGCTTTGCAGTCCCGATTTGCAGCAGTTGCACCGGTTGGGCTGACGCTGCCTATTTCTGCTCATTTCAGTAGAGAACGGTTTACTCCAGCAAGGGTCTGTGATCTGGTTTCAGCACAATGCATCACAAAGCCTCAGGGGTTAACTAACGGATTGCTTGAGATTTGACTTTTCCAGTGCTTCCTAATCAAGGAATGTATAAAGAGATATTTCAGGGTTTCGTTCAGGCTTTCTTATGCAATCTCCTGCAAACACATCTTCTTCAGGCAGATCTGACCTAGATTTTTTTCAGTGCACTCCTAATCAGACAAGAAAAAACAAGAAAGCCCACTGTGAAATGGAGTTAAGCTGTCAAATTCCTCACCAAACATTTTCTTTCTGCACAGTGACTAGCTGTAATTATGCTTTGCTGTAATTATACTTGCAGAGATATTTTATACAAGGTATTTTCCTTAAGACGTGTCAATAACCATTGTCAAGGACAAGAAAAACAGTGCAAGAGAGCCCTTGCTTCCAAGTCCTAGATTTCATATCTGTGTTATTGATTCCAAATGTTTAATGCTACTTTTGTGATGTTTTGCAATGTAATGTTATAGAGATGAACAATTAATTTAAAAAAAAAACCCCACAACCTACAGTAATAGTTTCCAATAGGATCCTGTTTATAAGCATAATTGCTTGCTCAGGCAGAGGCCTTTCCTCGTAGTCATCTCTGTATTCTACATGATATATATTTAGTTACATGACTATTACTGAACTTTACTGATACTTTACTGATTCAGACGAAGTTCTCCTTAATTCTACAAAACATTTTCTAACCAGAAGCACCCGCATACTAAATACATAACTTGATCTCTGCACCTTGGTCTGTTGGCTGATTTGGTTGTTAGCAGATAAACATTTCACAAAGACTGACTCATTCAACGTAGCTATGGTAAGTGACTTACCAGCGCCTAAGTCCCAGCGTTAGGGGAGAGGCAGCGATATTTGAAGACAAAAAAAAGTTTAAAAAGTGCACGCTGCTCTCATTGTATGAGGTCTTCCTTCTTAGGAAGTTTCGAGTTTTAAGGTTTAAATCACCGTTTTGATTTCTGCCTTGAACTCTGATAGTTCCCCGTGTGCCTGATGTCCGGGCAGAAGCCCTGGCACAACTCTTCCATGTGCTTCCACATGCTCGACTTTCTGATCACTGACTTCTGGCACCTCATTTCTTTCCTGTTAGCGTTCTTCTGGCAGTGCCGTTTGTGATAATTGCACACAAAATGATCCCCTTGCTTCTTCTGTCAACGTTTTGGTTCGTATCTCACTTGCTGGTTTGGTTCTTACAAAAATGAAACAACCCATGAATCCTTGGGACAACGAGAGAGGGTAAAAGGTAAAACTATTCCTGATGCCTGGGAGAAAACACTTGTAACAGTCCTACAATGTTGTTAGTAAAAGCTGATGGGTTTAATTTGTCGGATTATTTTATCCTTGTGTATTAACTATTAATTCCATAAATGTAAAGGATGAAGTTGCATTGTTTTGGGTAGATGTGTTGGGAAAAAACGTATTTTGAAATAACGATAGACATTTTAGTCTGGTAGAAAACAGATGAGACCTGGAGATGCCCTTCTGCTTCTATAAGCACCACAGGGTCTGTGTTACACATAGAAGTTCAGTGGATATACAGTGATTCCGGTGGCTAAAACTATTCCAATGTCTCATAATGAAACCTCCCTCCATACTGGCTGCACTTTCATCTTCAACTATTTTCTATTTGTTTCTCTGTCACTGATGGTGCTTCACCTGGAATGACGTTTAGTACACAGTCACGCTCTGGGCAAACGTTTCTTCTGCCAGGCTCACTGTAGGAAATACTTTGTAACTACAGAGATACCAGTAGGTAAGGGTAATGGACTGGAGATCTCAGGAGGCCTTTTCACATTGGTGTTTATTAATGAGTTCCATATCATTTGAACTTTATATATATAGATATATTACACATAATTTTTTTCTTTATTTTCTAGGCCTTTGACAAGATCCTTTTACTATATCCCAGTATCCATCTTATCAGAGAATAACTACTTTTTAGGATGTGACAGGACTTTTTAGAGAAAACCAGTGCTGCTTCTTAACTTGCTTCATAAGTTTATGTTGACACTAGGGCCCATGTGTAAGAGAATATAAAACTCTCCTGAATTTCCAGACTGGAATGTCCTGTACTGTGTTTTAGATTCTTGTTTTCCCCTATATAAAATCTGGTTTTCGTATGTGATGAGCTTTGTGTGGCGGCTCCAACCATTTTGCAGTTCCCAGCATCTGCAGCAACAGCTTTGGGAATCACCAGATTGGAAAGAAAAGTGGAAGTCTCAGGTATAATTAAATTTCTACAAGTTTTGCAAAAGCCTGTAGCTAAGGAGAGACCCAAACTGATGCCTACATTGAAAGGAAAAGTGGGCAGAGTTCAGCCTTCCTATGTCCTCTTTGGCAGCCCTGGCTGGCCTGCCGGCACGTACTGCTCTTGCTCGGTAGGTGCGTAGCCAACCTCTGGGTCTACTGAGGTTATTTAAATGGTACCAGGAAAAAAGGAGACACGGGACACGGATCATCAGGAAACCAGAACTTGCTATCCTGCCTCCATTGTGTGCCTGAAAAACCATTATCTTTCTCACCTATTGTTCTTGCAATTTTGTTTTGTAGGAATCGGAGTTTCTTTGTCTGGAGTTTGATGAGGCCAAGGTGAGCCAGATGCTGAAGAAACTCTCGGAAATAGAGGAGAGCATGACTTTGTTGACTCAGACCACTTAACCAAATAAAGAGATCGCAACTCAGAAAACAAATGACCCTTGGTACTTTTTCATAATTCCTGTTTCTGCACATAAAATAGGTAATGATTGTTAAATCCTGGTTATAACTGCACAATGCATTCACAGCCAAGTATGGGCTAAGTCACACTGTGAAGCTTTCTCTGTCCCCTCCTCCAGGCCTGTTCTCCAAGGCGGCGGCAGCGTTGTTCACATAAAGCTTTGCATAATCAGGCCTTCGAGCGTAGCGTAGCTCTTCTCTTTTTCCCTTCAATCGATTTTTGAGTCTTCCAGATGCTGTAAATACTGGGCTGGATGAACAGCAAAGGTAAATTGGCCAGTTGTGGCAGGGGAGAAATGAGCAGAAGAAACAGGCAGAATAGGGGGGACTCATGTTTATCCTTCCAAACCATGGGCTATGTAGGACAAATCCACCCGTGCGAACTCTGCCTGCTTAGAGCTTAAAGCCCGGGAGAGTAGATGAAGTGCAGTGAGTTCAGGGAGCAGAGACACAAACGTACATTTCTGTAATCGCGAGCCTCTGTGCTGCTGAGGATTAAATAAAGAGTTCCCAAGGGTGTGAGGTGGCCAACCTTGCTTGCCCATTGAGTCACACCTTCCCCACACCGCAGGCAGCCAGGGGACAATCAGGAGCATCTCTTGGGCAAGTGGGCGGTGCTGGTTTCCCAAAAGGAGCAGCCCTCCGGCACGTGCTGAGCCCCCGATCCAGCAACCTGCTGGCGAGCCTTCAAAGCCACTTCTGATCTGCTTCCCTGAAGACTGTCCCCCCTCATCAGCCTTCCGGCTCTCGAGCTGTAGTGGTGCAGCCCTGGCTCCGAGCTGCACGGTGTGTTTGAGAGGACGGTGCTTTGTCAGGGCACAGTTTAACTTGGCTGCTCTTAGTCCTGTTTGTCATGATGTTTGTCTTGACCTCAAAAAAGCCCCAGGTTAAACCCAGGATTTCTAGTGTGTGCATGTTCAGCGTGGAATTTGGGTGAAAGGAAAACGCCCTTGGCAACCTGGCAGGTTAAAGCCCTATTGATAAAATAGCTGCGTGAAGAAAGCTCCCAGAGGCAGACCAGGTATGTACAGGGCACCAGGATCTGAACTGCCCAGGTTGCTGTGGCTCTTGGCTGTCGCAGGCACCCACATCTCTCTGCCATAGTGCCAAACTGCAGAGCAACCACTACCCTTGCGACCAAAGAGGACTGGGCGGAAATGTTTTCAGTTTCAGATGTTTCCTTTCAGGGGTGCAACTTTGTCGGCTTTATCACAGCAGGATGTATAACCACGCTTACCAGCTTCTCAGTGCAGGAGGACATGGAGGGGCTGTTCTGAGCAGGCTAACGCTTGTATGGAGTATGATGGTCCCTACTGGTGAGCTGCCCAACAGTCCATAAAATGGTGACGGACAAGCTGGAGGTGACACTGGCTCGCTGTTTTGCTTTGTTACTTAACGGGAAGGCGCGCACACACATTTGGTTGGAGGCTACATTGATTCTTTCCATTTTATTTTAGCTTCATAAGCAACCTCCTCCTGAGCTAAAATTATATTGAGGGCTTGTACCAAGATAGAGATGACAACATAAAATGTTCTTGTGCCATAACTAAAGTACTTCTCATTGCTTCTCCTTGCGAATTTATTGCTTGTGGAACTGCCAGATTGTACTTGGATGCAAAATCCAGAGCAAGGGAAGGGCACCTTTTCCCATCTGCCTGGTCAGAAGGGAAAGCATCACTCAAGCCAATTTGTATCACTGCATTGGGAATTAACATTTCCTTTACCGTGCCTGTCCCACTGCTGTCTCATCTCTTACAGCCACCTGGTTCTCCCCTCTGTCTCATGGAGGCACCGCACAGTTCCCGTCTCCTCACTTTCCCCATCTGCCTCCAGCTGATACTTGTCAGAGTGGAACTGGACTGTAACCACCAACTGATGCTCACGCCGGTCCCCGGGTAACCGGCTGCCGGCGTGGGTGTGAAATGCTGCGTGTTGCCGATTCTCTGAGCTTTCGCTTGCCTTTTCATCGAAGTTCATTAAAATGTTTTCCTGCATTTTAGAGCACGTTAAGAAAAAAATCAAGGTCAGGGAAGGATCATGATCTTAAGTAACTTGCACCGTGTCAAACATACTTATTGTTTTATTTTAACATGGTCAGAGGATAGGAAAATATGCTATAAATGGAAATTAAAGAGAAACAAACTGGGAACAGATGTCAGGAAGTATTATTTCATGCAAAGAATAATAAACATGTGAAATGGCTAACCAGGCAAGGAGGCTGAGGCAAAAAATGTTGGGGTCACTTAAGAAATAATTGGATACTTTCCTAGTAGAGGTGAGAAGTTAAAAAGGGGCACGTTTTTATGGGTGGACGCTTTTCTCTCTTCCTAATCCTCCCTCCCCTGAATACCTAATGATCCTGATTTTCTTTTTGGTGGATCTTTGTAAACTACTGTGCAAAATAAGGAAAAAAAAAGCTGAGTGTTTTGAGGACCACACTCTGCCCGGCCCTGGGTAAGGGCACAGGAGTGTCACTGGGCAGCAAAATCGTTTCTGCTTCACGAGGTTTGACATGGGCAGGGAAAGAAGATGCTGTGCTTCCCCAGACTGCTGTAATGCCCAGCTGCTACTGGGGCACAGAGAACAGCTTTTCCCCTTTTCCCCCTTGGCCAGGACTGTGCCTTCCTACTGGGGTGGTTTATCTGTGTGTCCATCCGACTGTCCCTTGCTATGGTGTTTTCAACGTATTGGTCACTCTTGGCTGAACTTGGTGGAGGAGAAGAGGCTTCCGATGCTGCTCTGCTTCCTTGAGCGAAGAACACAACCACCTGTGACTTCTTGTTGGGATTCATGGGTGTTAATAGCTATCGATGGTCCCGCTAAATATCTCTGTGGTGTTGGAAATGAAAGCTGCTGCTTACACGCTTCAGGAGAGATTTCAAATTCCTTCCCCAAAGCCCAGATGTAAACCAGACTCGGCCTGAGCGCATGGCCGGGCAGCTCCCGCTGTGGCTGAGGCCATGCGTGGATGCTGGCCTCCTGCGTGGGTCCATCCGAGCAGACATCCCAGCACAGCCCTGTTGGCCATAGGGGCCTCATCCTATTTTGAAGACCACTGCTGCCAGCCATGGCATCAGCTCCCGTGCCTGCATGCTGAGCCATGCCAGCAGTGTGACACCAGGGCCATCACTTCCTCCTCTTCTTCCTTCCCTAGGGGAGCAGCCATGTGGCAGCGTGCCCTGAGCCACTGGTCAAGCCTGCTGGGCAGTTTGTAGATTTACAGCAGGGACACGAGCAGCTCAGCACAGCCAGAGGAGGAAAGCGAGGGAGACGGGGAAGCAGCGGGAGGAAGGGCTGAAGGAGGGCCCCTGCCTGAGTCCCATCTGGGAGAGGTTTCCCTGCCCAGTCCTCAAAAGCAGCCAGGGAAGGAGCTGGGACACAACTCATGCCACGCTCCGATGTCCTTAACCTCAGAAAACTCCTTCATACCTGCCCCCCTGCAGGTATACCTGCCTGCAATCTGCCCAATCTCCATCCTTCCTGGTTTACTAACAAATAAAAACCACTTGCGAGTGGGACTGCCATGTGCCGCCAGGCTGGGGCAGGCTCGGTGCGATCAAAGCCTGGATATTTAATCTAACCTGCGTTGTGTTGGCGCAGGCAGGGCAGGGAGCAGCCAGGTAGACTGGCTCAGGCGGGGGATGGCACCTGGCAGCACCAGCAATGTCCTTCGCTCCCGCTTTTGCTGGCGCTTTCCTGGGTGATAGCCCACCGAAGCCCGCAGTGAGCGAGGGCTGCTGCTGCAGCTCTGGCACCGTGTACGTGATGACTCCAGATGTGCAAGTCCAGATGTGCAGCCCATCTCAAGCTGTGCTGCTTCTTACCGAAGACAAAAGCAGCAGCCACATGTTGTTGCAACCTTCAGCTGGTTCTTCCTCAGATGTCACCTTTTGCACCGCTAAAATGCCCTGCAATTTATTCATGCAATCACTTCTTGTTTTCTGGGAATTCCTCCAAGTTGCCACTCGTTTATGATCTGGTGCTCCCTAAAATACCTGCAAGTGCCATCACCTTCAATCATGCATTACACAATTGGCAAGCCCTGCACTTGCTCTCTGCTTGGCAAGACAATTCCTCTTAGCGCAATTTTCTTTTTTCTTGGTCCGCGTATTCCCAGAACTGCTGAATTTTTAGAGTATTTTTCTAGGCATATCTGTATTTGAAGAAAGTAATAATTTAGGCACACCATGTTTTTCCAAATCCAAGCCAAGCAAGCGCTATACTTCATAGAGATTTGGGCCATGGAAGGCAGCAGATGATGAGGCATACTTATTTTATATTGGTGTTGATTTACTTTCCCATTGTTCAGGTTACTTCATCTCACTTTATTTTACATTTCTTTTTTTATTTCTCTTTCTTACAGGTCCTTTTTGCAAGTGTAAATGTCAGAATTAATGTTTGTGCTTTTATTGTGTTTCATAGGAGGGTTTTTGCTGGAGTCCATCACCTCCACATTTTATTATGCTTTAACATTTTGACAAACTGGTTGATATTTTGAGAGATTTTCTTTTCTGTACATCAGTTCTTTGCTATCTATTGATAAAATAAATCACTTACCATTTTTCTGAGGAGATTTCCTGATTTAGATATTTACTGACCATTTGTAGATGCGCAAGTCTCTGAGAGGTTTTACCTGATGACTCACGCTTGTCCCACATCGCTCGCGGAAATGTTTCTTTCTCCTTCTGGGGATTTCAACAGTTTATTCATGTATTCCAAATATTTATAAAGAGGCCCTCAGTCAGTGCCAGGGACAGAGGGAGCCTTTTTAAGAAGGCAGTACCGCATGGCAATGTCCGGGTGGGGGGAGCACAGCGGTCCTTCGCAGCAGCCACTGACGACTTTTTAATGCATTACGTTTCATGTGGCTTGCGTCCGGAAAAATAGACAATGACTCCTCGCCTTGGAGCCGGGACTGTTAAAATCCACCTCTTAAATTATTCCCAAATCCCGGGGAAGCAGGGC